TAGATAGGTAAGAGTCAAGGGTTGTTATTACAGTTTTACATAAAGTAGATAGCTCTAGTTATGTAAATTTTGAAAACATATAGATAAGAAACGACTTAATGTAAGGTTCTAAAGATTATAACCTACATACAAAGCTACACCATTGTGTACTGATAGCCATGTGTTTTATCTATATAATTCCGTGGTAGTTCTGGAATGTAAATAATCAAAGCGATAAATTCAGTTTTTTTTATAATTAAGATACATTTTTTCTAACATTTGAAAACCACTGGTAACATCTGATGAATATGTGTATATTATTGAATCCTTGAAGTAAGAAAAGAGATTATTGGCGTTATAATCTCGCTCTTGTTGTTATGAAAAACAGTTTTATAGAAAGAAGAAGCTAATGTGTATTAAAAAACTTGAATAGAAATAAGAAACTAATGTGCATAAAAAAAAACTTAATTTAATTGAGGTTTTCAGAGTTTTGATTTTTTGACCGTTGTTCTGTTTCGAGTACCACGAGTGTACGCCGAATCCTTCTTTTTGTGGGTTTAAAATGGCTTGAATTTGTTTGAACACAAATTAATACTGCGAAATATCTTGATATTGAATTTCTAAACAAAATTTGTCCACCAGCTATGTGCTTCAGAAAATCATTTTTCTCGAAGAAATCTAGAAACTTTCAATATACACGGGTAGCCATATATTTTTTCACATAGTTCTCTTGGAAAATATAGTTCGACGTTATATGCAGCATATACATGTTTTTACCTTCCTTACAAGATATAAAGAAGTCAACTCCGTTTGCAGCCCCTGTGACTCAGTGGTAAGTCCGAGGGCTTATAAAGCTAACAATCGGGTTTCCTGGTTTGGTTGATTTTTATTTCGCCCAAAATTATACGAGGGCTATCTGCGCTAGCCGTCCCAATTTAGCAGTGAAAGACTAGAGGGAAGGCAACTAGTTATCACCACTCACCGCCAACTCTTGGGCTACTCTTTTATCATTGAATAGTGGGTATTGACCGTCACATCATAACGGCTGCAAGTGCGAGCATGTTTGATGGGACGGAGATTGGAACCCGCGAACCTTAGATTGCGAGTCAAATGTCCTAACTTCCTGGCCATGCCGAGCAATCGGATTTCCAAAAAAACGCGTGGGGCAGAAGCGCAGATGGTTCTTTGTGTAGCTTTGTGCTTAACAACAAACAAACAAACAAAAACCTGTTTACACACATTTCTGAGAGAACAAATCATCTAGCCATTTTTGGTCCGTGTGATTCATCAAAATAAGTGCCTTTTGTGTACCGATCTTAGGATATAATCATGCCAAAATAAATAATATTTTCGTTAGAGGATGATCAAATGAATTATGAAATTTACGAAAGAAATTATACAATAAAATATTTCAGCTACCTTAAAGATTACCTCTTTATGTTATGCTACAGAAATAGAGTCCTTTGTGGTGGAGGTACACTGCTAGGCAAAACCGCCACAGGATATACGTTACTGTTTGTTCGTAGGAGAAAAACATATTACGTTTGGCGTAAATCTTTACACCCATATGTATTTCAGTATTGTTCACTGATCTTCATGAACAATAGATTTGCATCTAGTATTTTGTTAAACCAAAATAACGTGCTCTGGTTGCACATGACTAAACACCTATAAAACTATCCACAAGTTATAGAGTACTATCATACTCATTTGATCGTTCATTAGCATCGATACCAAGATTTTTCATCATCTGAAGGAGAAAATGAGGGGAATAAAGCTCTACCCATCTGTACTGCAGCTGGCCCGGCATGGCCAGGTGGTTAGGGCGCTCGACTCGCAATCTGAGGGTCGTGGGTTCGAATCCTCGTCCCACCAAACATGTTTGCCCTTTCAGCCGTGGGGGCGTTATAATGTGACGGTCAATTCCACTATTCGTTGCCAAAAGAGTAGCCCAAGAGTTGGCGGTGGGTGGTGATGACTAGCTGCCTTCCCTCTAGTCTTACACTTTTAAATTAGGGACGTCTAGCGCAGATAGCCCTCATGTAGCTTTGCGCGAAATTCAAAGCAAACAAACAAACTGGTATTATTTGTCAACGGCTTCGCACAAATTTCAAAGCGATTTTCTGTTTCTGAATTGAGTTATGTTGCCCATTACTGAAAATCGTGGTTAACGAATCAATGTGAATTTAATATCGCCCACACCTATTTGAGGAGCTGTATAGCTCATTCATAATTCGCGCAATGGAGTAATCAAGGTTCTTGGAAATGCGTGGATTTAGCCATCTATTTTATTTTGCAATTCTTGTTTTATATTGTTGAATTTCACGCAAAACTGCCCCCCCCCCCAGTGGTTCAGCTTATAACCCTAAAGAACGGGTTTCGATACTTGTGGTGTACACAGCTCATATAACCCTTTGTGCAGCTTTGTGCTTAACAACAAACAAACAAAATCATGCAAAGCTACTCGAGGGATATTATGCGCTAACCATTTTTAATTTTGAAGAGGTAGACTTGAGGAAAGGCACTTATTCAACACCACCGTCTGCCAACTCATGGATTACTTTTATCGAATAGTGGAATTTGAGCGTTACTCTTATAATGCATCCACAGACCCAAAGTATACAGCGCTAACTACACTCCGACTCGCAAACTACTGAGCCACGCTCGGTCCGTTTGCAGTACACTACAAAAGGCATCAGGATGGTTACATCTATTGCATGCAAAACACCTCTTTGATTTCACTGTTACTGCAAAACATTTCTCGTGTACAGCAGACGCGCTGTCAGAAACTAAACAAAAAAGAAACGAAGCACGGGGATTCCGAGACACTATAAAAAAAGAGACCTAGTATGAAGACCCACGAATGTTTCGCAATTATTAAGAAAGTTGTTTATTTTCAAAATTTTAAATTTTTTCTGTTCTAATCTTTTTTTTATTATTTGTCGTTTTTATTTTGGTTTAAATAGTTTTCGTAACGATAAAAAAGCACATGCGTATTGCTCATATAATGCATATAGTATAAAGCTAATATAGTACGAGCAGAATGTTGAACTTTTTTACGAGCCATCTCTAATATCTTAGTTCATTATTTGTGGTTGAAATTGGAGTATATCAATACATATTTCTGTATAACACCTTTTTCTGGTAGTAACTATGCATTCACATCAACACTCACTCTGCGATCTAGTATTATGAAAAATATTGTAACTCAGGCTGTTTTTGTTGTAAGACTAAGCAGTCAACCATCAATATATTCATGTTTATCGTATACAGATCCTCCACAGCGAAATGTACGTGTGGACAAAGTGTTAAAATGACAAGTGTTCTTTTACTCCTATCATGTATTACTGTTTTTACTAGTAATGATTATTACATAGGTTATTACTTTTATGACTAATAATATCTTCTAGAGAGATCATTACTGTTAGCTAATAATGACTGCTAGATCGATTATTACTGTTATTACTAATAATATCTTCCAGAAGGATCATGTTATGACTAGTTATGATTGCCAGAAATATTCCACTGTTATGAGCAGCAGTAACTGTTAGATAGATTACTTTAATCACTATGTTTAGTAATGACTGAAGACTACTACTGTTATGACTAGTTATGATTGCCAGAAATATTCCACTGTTATGAGCAGCAGTAACTGTTAGATGGATTACTTCAATCACTATGTTTAGTAATGACTGAAGACTACTACTGTTATGACTAGTTATGATTGCCAGAAATATTCCACTGTTATGAGCAGCAGTAACTGTTAGATAGATTAGTTCAATCACTATGTTTAGTAATGACTGAAGACTACTACTGTTATGACTAGTAGTGATTGCTATATATATATATTACTACTGTTATGATTAATAACGACTGTTATGTAGATTACTGCTGTTATGACTAGTAATTACTGTTTTGTAGATTACTACTGATATGAATAGTAGTAACTGTTAGAATGATTACTATTGCTATCACTAATAATTATTGCTATCTATATTACTGCTGTTGTGACTAATAATGATTGCTATATAGATTACTATTGTTGAGTTATAGTTAGTACAAGACAAGTATCCATGTGACTGTTACATGCTGCTAGACGTTAATGCATAGAGTAGAAATTTGAACATTAACGATTGAAAGTCATTACTAAATATGTTAATATTAGGGATTACTACCTAAACAACTAATAATTTTACTTCTAGGACGCTAAATAGGCTACTAGTTGTTTTCTGGTGACTTCGAGGCAGTGGTGCCAATTGGGGACGGGGCTAGGGAGGACAATCATTTCACCTAAACATTATTTTGTTTGTTTTTGAGAAATGTAAAACGTCTGGTTAATGAACTCTGTTTATGGGAAATTACTAATATTAATATATGCAAGAACAAAGTAGAAATTTCTATGTTCTTTTTTGTTCCTCATAACACTTTGGCCATTACGTAACTATTAACAATTAATATATGAACTCCATAACGTGCTACGTCATCAACAGTTAACGTATTTTGTAGAAATTCTGGTTCAACTTTATTACCCTCCCCCAAGATTTTGCTGAAATGGCGTCAATGCTTCTTGGTATTTTCATAGAGAGATTAGAAGTACCGGGTATGGTATTACAAGATTAACTAAAAATGTTGCTCTTTGTATTAATAATAGCGATTACCAGGAAATAATTCACATACTCTCAGAGGCTGTTAAAGAGCATTACTTCGTCGATTACACAGAAATCATTAACATGATTTCAGAGGAATTTTAAGAGAATTACTTCCTTGATTACTCTTAGCTAACGCATCTGTTCTTACATTTCATTACATCTACATATGTTATTCTCACACCTGGTGAAATCGTGAAGTTCCGTTTTAAAACGAACTCAGAATTATGTAACTCCGTTGAAAAAATACATAGATGTTTAATTTTTTTAGTTCATTAGCCAGTACGAGAGGGCGCTACTCTCCAGACTTTATTACCAGGCACATGACAAAGAAAGCATTACTTCTCTAGCTGACAGAAATAGCTCTGAAAGTTGAGAAGTGACTCAAGCAGAGACCAATAAGAGAACTGTCAGTGTGTTCTTCCTTTGTCCAAGTAAAATTAGAATTTCGTTTGAAGACGTAATGAAGTGTGTGTTTGTTGGTAACAAAACCGCACTCTTCTCACTAAAGTGGTGACATTCTGTACGAAACGACAGATTGGAATAATACTGACTCGAAGTGGAATGAAATAGGACATTTTTTTAGCAGGCTTTATTACGTAGTTAAAGTATAAACTTGTCTAAATTATAACCAAAATGGTAAGTTAATCATCATTTGCCTTATCTTATAATATATGGTTACTTTTGTAAATGTTTGAGTTACCAAATATTAACGTATTCATACCCACCAGTATTTGGGTACACTAATTGTCATCAAAATGGTAAGTCTTTTAATATATAATTGCTTTTGTAACTATATGAGTTGTTATAAAATATTAATGTGTTCGTAAACAGTACATGGGTACATTTCTTGTCATCAAAATGATAAATTAATCATTATTTGCTATATATTTTAATACATGATTACTTTTGAAAATGTATGAGTTGTTAATATGTTCATGTATTCGTACAGCAGTATCCAGGCACACTTCTAATTCAAAATACACAATCGTACAGTATGATTAATACAGGTGGAAATCGTGTTCTTATTTAATTACAGAATACAAAAATGCTACAGTGAGGGAGCATACAACCATTTTATTGGGTGAATATTGACGAATATATAATTAAGCTAGTCTACGCTGTATATTGTCCAGAGGTACAGCTGTTATGCTGCTTAAAATGTCTATTGTAAAACATTTTTCTTCTGGTGATGAACTTGTGTTGCTAAGTTCTCTTGAAAATGAAACTTATTGAAGTATCTAAAGTGACAAACAAGTGTATAGTACTCGCAGAAAAATTTTAAACTTGTAATATATTGATTAAAAATAATTTCAAAATATAGGCTTTGATTCATTAATAAAATAATGCGATTAAGCGGAATTTTGGGGGATAAATGTCTCCAAGTTAAAATCCGAACTACGTGACATCGAATAGTGATGTGTCCAGTTAGATTCTATGTCATAAAAATGTTTTGAAAAATCTAAAGCATGGACAAACTTATTAGGTCCTCTTTGATAGGTTGTTTAGGCAGAGTATTCATAATAAATCTAAGTTTCAAATGGACAGCAACTGCCTGTTAGATTTGTATGTTTCTACAACAGGCAGTTGCTGTCCATTTGAAACTTAGATTCATTATTAGGTCCTTTTGTTGAAAAATCCTTACATCTTATTCTGGAGCAGAGAATCCAACTGAAATGTCTTGGATGACTGAGTATCTACACAGCCATATTGAAATATGCTATAAATAGGTATTAGAAACCGAAACTATACTACAGCATGCATGGTATAGAGAAATGAGAGACTTGCGACATAATTAGTTACTGAAGCAGGGAGTCGTGAGCGTCGCTGATATATTACCTTTCTTTAGTTAACCTGTTACTTAAAAATGAGACAAAAATCCAATAATTAATGTAGTGACTAAAGAAATCCACACGCATTTCTGCTTTGTACAGCAAAATAACTTAATGTATTTGCAAAAAAACAAACACTTTTTTTCTTGCAAATGAACGTGAGTGCCATCCTTGCCTCAATGTTAATGTTTCTTAACCCTTGAATTATCGACTTTCTGTTTTTGCCTGTTATGACAACTGACCAAATCACTCATTTTATATGTAAAATGCATGGGGTTCTCAGAAGCAATTAGTGGAAATAATTGTATTATTGATGGTATTTTTGTTTACATTGTTTTATGACCGTACGTTAGTAAGGAACATGCAACCAAAAAAGTTCCGGACCCATAAGCAAATACGGTGTATAACTAGTCTTAGAAAAATGGGTTATAAAAGGACTTTTCGGTTATTCGAGGTATAACCTTGCTAAGTTACAAATACAGAAATAGCAATTTCTTCCATAAAAACCTGTTACTAAAGATTTCTTACGTGCTTTTAAAATGGGCTTGACAACAATAAACTGACTGATTAAATTTGTAAGATAGAGATTATTTATATCATGAATTCTCAGTTTTCTATTAGCAAGAACACATTTCACATTTTTCCACTATTGACATATTGATAATTTAACGGTTACATTTTTTTATATGCTACTGAAAACTTTCAACTGGTTCAATCTCGAGGTGTTTGCGAAAAACGTCCAACTGGTTCAATTTTAAAGTGTGAGTGAAAACTCTCAACCGGTTCATATTTAGTCTATTAGTGAAAAGCTCCGACAGGTTTAGTTTTAAGGTTTTAGTTAAAACTTCCTACTAGTTTAGTTTTTGGTTATTAATGAAATTTTTTTACTGGTTTAATGTTTCTGACAATTTTCAACAGGTTCATTTTAAAAGTGTTAGTGAAAATTTTCAATCGATTCAGCTCAAGATGTTAATGAAAAATTCATTACCGGTTGAGTTTTAAGGTGCTAGTAAAAACTTTTAACCTTCATACTCAAGATCTCAGAACATTTTTTTAACCAGTTTAGTTTTAACGTGTTAGTGGAAACTTCCTACAAGTTCAGATTTAAAGTGGTAATGAAAACTTTCAACTGTAAATGAGAAACTTTTAAACGATTGAGTTCTCGGATGGAATAATTTTTGGAACAATGCCTCTTTCCAGTGGATAACTGATAAACTTGATGGCTTATAACACAAATATCAAAGGTTCGATCTCTGTGGCGGGCACAGAAAAAATAGCTCATTCTGTAAATTTGCCCTTAATACTAAACAAACAAAGCATAACGATTTTACTTCGAATAAGATTGAAATCCTAAAATATTTATGTTTATCATTAACTAAGAAAATATTTGAAAAATGTATAGAATTTATCTTAATCTGAAAGAACCTCAAGTTGTACCAACAATAACAACAGCAAAAAAAGAAAACCAAATTTTCATGTCTACATATTACACACACACATATATATATAGACTTAAGTAGGCCACAAAGTTTTGAAATTCGATGTCCTCAATTTCCTTTTTTTTGTGGTGTGTTGAGAACTTCCGCTTATAAATAAATCTATTTTAGTTTTAAGAAAGTTTGCCGTTCCTTTTAAAGACAAGATCTAGGATTATAAACTGCAAGATATTGTGTGAGCATTAAGGGAAGAAAAGCGAAACTAATGAAATTTTGTATCTTGCTACAAGAGCACCTTCATTAGAAACATAATTCCTTCATAGGCGTAGATGTCATACTAGTTAGTTTTATTACTTCAAACTTACTTCCTTTGATTCGTCACCGAAATTGTAAATATACGAACACTTGTTCAGTGATTCAGAAGTTTAACTATGAGCGCAGGATATAAAACTAACAATAAGATTCTCTTAGTTTGTTCTATACGAGTATATGAAAAAGTGAAAAATAACAAATCAATGAACATCGCTGGCGGGTTCAGGATATTGTAGGACCAGTGCATGGTGTTTGAGTTGAGTAACTTGAAAAATCGGACTACAGTTACGCGCGATCACAGCGTTATGTAGTTCTTTAATTTGCAGCTAAAGTGAAAGAAGATTTATTATTCTTCATAAAACATCTACCGCAAGTCAACGATTTCATGTGAACTTGTTGATGGGGTTTGGTTCTTTGGTTGCTCACACTCATCTAATATCCAGTGCCTATATACACTCTTGGTCAAAATGTTTGCATACTGTTCTATATTGATGTTATTTTCTACATGCGTGGAGTAGTTATTGAGTAAATGCCCGAGTGGTAACAGAGAAGATAACGTATCATTGGAGAAACATGTACGAGTTGTTATTCTGGTCTGTGTAAGTTGTTTTGAGCATTTGTTTGTCACACTTGTTTTATATAAAAGGGTGTGCTTTTGGTATAACCTTTGTCAAAACAGATCAATGCTTTATTCAGACAATTTATCGGTACTTGCCTCGTCACATGCAAAAAGTTATAGGGCGTCAAATAGTTCGAATGTCGAGAAATGATATGAAGCAAACGGACATTACCAGAACAGTAGAGTATTCCTAATGTACTGTATCCAGAATCCTGTAACAGCATTGGACTACAGGAAACGTTGTTTCAGGAAAGTCTACTGGTAGACGTCGTAAAACTACTGCCCGAGATGGCCGTGTTTTACTCAGGTTAACACGTCAAGGTCGAAAGATGTCGTGCAACACTTTGCGACAGGAATGACATGAACACATTCATTCCATGTTATCCAGAAGAACTTTGAATAAGAGACTGACCAACAATGTTATTTTGCAGGAAGGATTATCTGCAAACCGATATTAACCAGAATTCACCGCCGTCATTGTGTTGCTTGGGCAAGACAGCATGCCAACCTACAAATGAGTCCTGTTCGGGCTTGTTAAAAAGCTGAAGGTGGGATTCGTGTTTGTCGTTTGCCTGGAGAACAGATGAGGGAAGTCTGTCTTTCCCACAGGAAACACACAGGAGGCGGTGCAGTACATGTTTGGGTAGCTATTCATCATGGTGGAAAAACCACTCTTCATATCCTCAAGGTAAACGTCAATGGTGCCTCCTACAGGCATCACATGGAATTATATTTCTGCTATATGCTAGGGAAATATTTGGCAATAAATCTGTGTTTGAGGATGACAATGCCACTGCCCATACTGTACATATTGTACAGGATTATCTCGACCAGGAGGATGTTACAAGATTGCCATGACCAGCAAAACCTCCAGGTTGTAATCCCATTGAGAACGTTTGGGCAGAACTGAGCCAAACAATTGCTATCCACGACCCTAAACCAACTACTATAGCTGAGTTTCAGTGCCTACTAGTGAAAAGTTGGGATGAAATTAAGGAGGATTACATCAATAACCTCATCGACAGCATGCTAAGTCGCCTTATGGAGGCTAGTAGAGTACGAAAAGGACCAACCAAGTACTGGATGTTTAATATGAACTGATATAAGGCTACAGATGCTAGTTATAATAATTTGATATTATATTTTGTCATTATATATGTTTTTGTAACATTTTGTAGTGATAAGTGAAATGTTGAATTTCACATCTTTCTACAAGTGTCTGATAAAATTGTTTACTATTGGGATAAATCGTTCATGATGTTCGTAGAACCTGTTTCATTATACAAATTACATATGTAGATATTTAATATAACATGCATTTCTCAGTGTGACAGCGCTAAGTGTGTTTGTATTCTATCTTAATAATAATAATCTTATTTGTTACAAAATATGCAAACATTTTGGCTAAGACCGTATATAACAAATTGAAAATGTATCAGT